CTACTACACTTCATTTTATGGAATGAAACACTTCATCTCATAGAATCATCATACATGACTACTCCAATTTCTACCTATATAATTTAACTTCCACTATTTTTCATCCAAATCACGTGTTAACGATCCACGTGACATGGTAGACATGAAGGATTAGAAATATCATGATTCTTAATATAGTACCTGATTTAGACAAAATAGTACCACATTTTCCTGTATGTAGTACCTGTTTTTAGTCGATTAGTACCTACTTTTGTCAAGGATAATTGATTATTTTAACTGTGGTCAACATCTTAAAAAAGTGGTACCAGTCATAGAGTTAGGCAGTACCACTTTCCGGTAGATTAGTACCGAATTTCGGGTCTTTAGTACCACTAGTAGTGAACACATAGAAACACCGAATATCGGTCAAAAATGATGTTCATACAACCCATAATCACTCTCAAATTAGTTTATATGACATTAAAAATTTGGTTAATTAAGTTTAATCGTAAATTGGTCACTAACTCAACGCATTAATGGAAAAACAATACTTAATACACTTTTGCTACCTGTTTTTCTTGAATTAGTACCTGTTATTCTTATACGCAGTACCTGAAATTGAAAATGTTCTCGTTCAGACCATAGCGCCGCTAAGGTGGTTAGCGACGCTAACCTAGAAAGCCTCCCAGCCTCTGCCCATCGCTAAGAAAAGCTAGCGGCGCTAATATCCTAGCCTTAGCGCCGCTAACACCTGGGCAACACTCATTTTTGCCCCTTAGTAATATAATTAACCAAATTTTTATAAGTGGTATTACAGACCCGATATCCGGTACTACAACGACACAAAACAGGTACTGCTTTACTCTATGACATGTACTAATTTTGAAAATGACCGAATTTGAAGTAATCCCTTTTTTGTTCTTTCTACAAAGCAGGTATTAATTGATCAATAACTGGTACTGAATAGAATAATAAATGGTACTAATTCAAAAATAACTGATACTAATTGATCAAAAGACATCATCCGGCAAAAAACAAAGTACAATTGACCAAATGCAAAATACACCTAGGCAAAAACAAAATACACTTGGACACAAAAAAATACACATGCCCAAAGAACAAAATACATGAGTGATCTAGATACGTTCTTTGCACGTACGTCGATTGTGTCCACGACGACCACAACGCTTACACCGCCTAACCGCAACATCAACTTGTGAAGGAATTCTTTTTTCCCTCCTGCGTCCGGGCTGAGGTCGTACTTCCGGAGCATGAATGACATCATTATGATATATGGAGGAAGAGGCCACATTATGATCGTAGTTAGGTATAGGGTTAATGGTACCTTGATAAGCTTGCCTATACATCCCAACCCGATAATATGGATCACAAAAATCATAAATGGACATTGACTTCCTCTCAACACAAGCACATGCATGCTTACATGGCATCTTAGATATTTACCATTCTCTACAAGAACAAATGCGAGATTGCAAATCCACGTCACAAATTTTGTCGGCATCAACAACCTCAAACCTCCATTCACTTGATTGCATGATTTTGAGACTCCGGGAAGCATCATAGCGAGATGAAATTATTTTTTCGAGCTTAGGACACAAGGGGCCATTAAACCGTGACCCTCCTTCACGTCGATCATGCATCATGGTCATAATTTGCTTCCGTATGTGATCGACCATGGCTACGATAGGCATAAATCGTGCCGACTTCACCCAATTATTCCAACATTCTGCTTGATTATTATTCATGATCCCCCAACGGTCTTCGGTAAATAAAGAATTTGCCCAACAATTTGGGTTAGAATCCTGAAGGAATTTTATAGAAAGAGGCATAGCAGTCACTATATTATTTATATGCATATCAAACTCTTGCCTCGTAAGAGCATACACAGCTTTCTTAAAAATCGAGGACCAATGCTTCTTATTGTTAAGTGGGTAGCTCTTCAAAACCTACAACCAAAAAATAATAATAATGAAACCTGCTTTATAATGAAAAAACAGAATTTATAAAAATAGAAAACCTAACAGAATGTAAACATAATGTACATTATGAATAATTAGTGAATAGAATGCACATTATGAATAATAATAAACAGAATGTCCTACTAAATGATGACTGAATATAAAAATAGTAGTATCACTAATGAACCCTAAACAAATTCCAAATAAAAATTAATAAAAAAATTGCACAAATTGCACTAACAAAATGTAACAGAATAGTACTAACAGAATTTAAACTAAAAAAAAATATGCAAACAAATTGCACAAACAGTAATTAGTGAAAAATTACCTGTGTCTTAAAGTTATCGACTAAGTGTCTCAAACAATAAGCATGATGGCTGTCAGGAAAAACAATAGGGATGGCTTTAAGAAGCCCGCTATGTCGGTCCGTATAAAACGTGAAGCTTCTAGAAACAGGGAAGCCGGAGGTAAGAAGAGTATTATTCAGCTTCAAGCAAAACCACTCCCAGTTTTCATCGGTCTCGACATCAACGACAACAAATGCTAAAGTGAACAAATCATCATTGGCGTCCTTACTCACAGCACTAAGCAAAACGCCTTTGAATTTATTTTTTATGTGTGTGCCATCCAAAACGGTCGACAACCGGTTAAAAAACCAACAACACAAGCACGAAAGCAAATGAACAATCGACGGAACTTATTTTGGACATTGTCAAGCTCACAATCCGCAATGCTTTCCCGGGTTTGTCTCACGCACCGCAGAACAATACCATCTCAATTTATCATAAGAGCCCTTGTCTGCTCCATAAATTTCTTGCATGGCAATATCCTTCCCGGACCATGCCTTTTTGTAAGGCAACTCCAAGCCATAATCCCTATGAAGATCTTTCAATATCGTGCATGGCCTGTAGCTTGGTTCATCTCTCAATTTCCCCTTAATTGCATTTGAGACCCAATGAGCGTCTGCTTTCGGATGCCCCCTTGTCCGAAGATTGGACACTCCACAAGTATGGACTAAATTGCTCTTCCAGATGGCAAAGACATGATCACCTTTGAATTTTGAGGCATAGATTCTCCATTGACAACCCTCGTCAATACAACAAACAATGATCTTTTGTTGATCATTTTTTCGATACTTAAACGAACGCCTATTTGCAATGGCGTAATTTTTAACAACCTTCCGAAATTCATCCGCGCCGCCACCGAATATCTGTCCCTCTCCTTTGATGGAAAATCTCCAAGAATCGATCGAGCTATTTTGCACTACAAATTCCGATTCTCCTTCCGGTAAGATTTCCCTGCAATCATTATAAAAAAATACAAATTTTTATAAATAACGGAACTAGTTAAGAAATTAATAAATATTACGAAAGCAACATTACTCTCTCATGCTCATCAGCATGGATTGAACTCCTTCATCCGCTCTTTCATTTCTTCCAATGCCCGAGCTTTCATTTCTTTCAATGGCAACTATCTCCACAATATTTACTTTCCAACAACCGTGTAACCGAATCATGTTTTTTTATATCCTCATCATCGGACAAAATAATTTTTTTTTTTCCTTTGGTACAATGTAGTTTAACATGACGGTTTCCGAACTAATAATCGACCACCTCTTACCAATGAGAGAGTACACTTCATCAAGAGTTGATTCAAGGTTCATAGAGAACACATAAATTTCATCCTTGTATGTACAACTCCCTAATATATCACTTTGTGCCCCTTCCATGTATCTAACAATAATTGGATTAAAAAAAAACAAGTTCACAATTCCCATCAAATAAGGTACCAACAGTGAGAAAAATGGTACTATATATCCAAACAGAGGTACACACAATCATGAAGAGTGGTACTATCATTATTCTCGTCTTATTTTTTTTTGTTTTATGGTCAATAACACCTAACATAACCTAACAATAACATAAATTTAGTATACATGAACAAAAAAGAAGGATTATGATCACTTTATTTATTTTAGGGTAAATATAAACAACAATATTCAACATTCAATCCTTCACAAATCAAACAAAATACATGAATTAAAGATGATTTTTGGACTCCAAACTTCTCATGTAATACATACATTACCTACTACTTCAAATTTTTGCCGGAAAAAGTCACAATCTTGCCGGAAAGAGAAGAATTTTTGAACAGAGAAAAAGAATTTTTTCGCCGGAAAAAAGCCAAATGTCGCCGGATTTGTTACCTCTGGAAGAAGCCCCAAGGTTCGGTTCTATTCTCCAACGAGATGAAGCTGCAAGAGAAAAAAAAAAAGAAAGCTGCTGCCGAGATGAAGAAGAAAAACGCGGGAGAAGAGAAGATGAGAGTGGGGAAGAAGAGTGGGGAAGAAGTTACTTTTAGGTAAATAAAAATAATAAAATAATGTGTCAAAATTAGTAGATAGTGGGATGATGTCACATTTCAATTTTTTTGTGATTTATTTTAATGTGAGGGATTTTAAGTGAAACTTGATTAAGGGGTAGGTAGTGAAATAAAAAATAATTATATAGAGGGACTGACTTGGAAGTTCATTTAGGGTGTAGGAATTTTTAAAGAAAGACTCCCTAAATTTAATTGAGATCCCAAAGGTGGCCTAAGCGTTTACCGGGTGTGACCAGTTCCGCGGCTGAGGCATCATTACTAACCCACACCCGCTTTCAACTCCTCCAAAAGCCCCTCCATTTCTCTCTCTATCTTCTCTCTCTCTCTATCCTTTTCTCTTTCATCACCTATTCGCTGCTCCCCAATACAATACTCACCATATATCATTTTACCTCTCTCAATATACCAATCCTTCGCAATAACAATCTCACAAAATTTTCTTCCGATTTCTGTTTCAAAAATTCTATCTCTCCGTGTTTTTGTGAGCACGAGCGTACAATCTGATATTTTTTTCTCACTCTCTCTCTACCTCTCTGCTTCTCCCAGGTTCAACTGTGAAATCCTTGTGGGTTTTAGTGATTTTACTAGTATTTTCTCCTTGTAAAGTGGTTTGTGTGGCTTGGAGATGAGGGATCTGAGTTGTAACTAGTGTGTGAACAAATGGCTGCATCTGAGGTTTCGATCAGGGGTTATAAAGACACCGGGGACCTTGATTCCGGTCAGGTCAAGGGGAATTCCGGCGCCGGAAAAGGTATGTCTTGCTAGATTTCAGTTATTCTTTTTTTTTTATTTTTGTATTTTTTTGTCTGCTTTCTCGGTCATTATATCTTTTTTCTCTCTCTTTTTGTTGCTTTCTCTTTCAGTGGATGCTGAAACAGCTCTATATACTGAACTATGGAGGGCTTGCGCTGGCCCTCTTGTGACCGTACCTCGTGAGAACGAGCTTGTTTTCTATTTTCCCCAGGGACACATCGAACAGGTCTGTTTTTTATTTTTTAGTTTATGTATGTTTTTTGATTTACAATTCTGAAGTTGTGAAAGAGATAGAGAATCTGTCAAAGCTCTGATCGATCTAAGTGTTTCGACACTTTTCTTAATTTTGTTTCCCTTTGTGCTTTATAGCAATAACTGAGCCCAACGTAGCTTTTTTCTGACAAGTGGCCCGTAATTGAAATTTGTTCCTGAAATTTGTTACAATTTGATTATTCTTTTTGCGTGGATTGAGAGTTTTTATGGTCATTTTCTTTTTTCTTTCTCTGTTTTTATGGTTTTGTGAATTAGCTGCAGATCATAGTTTGTGTATGTTTTTTTTTTTTTGTTGAATAGGTGGAGGCATCTACTAACCAAAGTGCAGACCAGCAGATGCCTGTTTATAATCTTCCTCCCAAGATTCTGTGTCGAGTGGTGAATGTTAATTTGAAGGTATCTGTGTTTGTGCATTTTCTCTTTTCGTTTTTTTTTTCTTCTGGTTATTGTTTCTTCGTTTCTGAAGATTTTTATATGGGTATTAGCACTAAAAGGGTTTCTCACCTGCTTTTTTAACAGTTTTGTTTTATTTTCGCTGTGGCAGATATCTTATACTAACTACATGTGTATCCAACGGTTATAACTCCCGATGGGATGGTTCCGTAACGGGACCATAGTATTTCCCTTTTTTTATATGGATCTTAGCACAAAGAGGGTTTCTCACCTGCTTTTTTAATAGTTTTGTTGTATTTTTTCTGTGGCAGGCTGAACCTGATACTGACGAGGTGTTTGCTCAAGTTACCTTGATGCCTGAACCTAATGTAAGCTGAATCAATTGTGTGTTTATTATTAATATATTATTACTATTATTATTTAAATTCTTGAACCTTATCTTCATTTGATATCTACTTATACCTTGCTTCTAATGAGGTTTTCTTTACCAGCAAGATGAAAATGCAGTGAAAAAGGAACCTCTTCCAGCACCGCCACCTAATTTTCACGTCCATTCTTTCTGTAAGACTCTTACTGCATCAGACACGAGCACTCATGGTGGGTTCTCAGTCCTGAGACGTCATGCCGATGAATGTCTTCCTCCACTGGTTCGTGTGAATCTATCTGGAGCCTGTCAAGTTGTTCCATGAATTATTTTATGGTGTTGTTGATTGTTTTATTCTGTCTCATGGCAGGACATGTCTAGACAACCCCCCACTCAGGAACTAGTGGCAAAAGATCTGCATGGAAACGAGTGGCGATTCAGGCATATTTTTCGAGGTTCATCTGAGCTCTTTCATTATTTTGTTCAAGTTGCTTGTGATTGCTGAACTATATGTATTATATTTTTTTTTTTTTCTGCTGTTATGGTAAATATGTTTGAGTAAATATCCCCCATAAAGGATATGAGGGGAAGGTAGGGACTTAAGAGTTGCTACTTAACCTTTTATTGTAAGAGTGGGGACTGCAGGAGATAAATAGCTATGAGCTATCTCTATGAATAGTCTGTGTTTCCTTGAAAAAATTTGGAAAATAACTTTGATTAATTATTCATATGCAGGTCAACCACGTCGACACCTCCTCCAAAGTGGTTGGAGTGTCTTTGTTAGTTCGAAAAGACTTGTTGCAGGGGATGCTTTTATATTTTTGAGGTTAGATGCATCTTATCTTGTGTCCAGCTAGAGGTTAACCCAATTGTTCAATATAGTTGAACGTGTGCTATGTATTTTCAGAGGGGAGAACAGTGAGCTGCGTGTTGGAGTTAGGCGAGCCATGAGACAGCAGGGTAATGCTCCATCTTCAGTCATATCCAGCCACAGCATGCATCTTGGTGTTCTAGCAACAGCTTGGCATGCAATTCAGACCAAGACTATGTTCACAGTTTATTACAAGCCGAGGTATTTGGCATGGCTGCTCCGCTTTTCTTCTGTATCCTGGATATAATTGGTTGCACCATCAGTTGAACTGTGACTCCACTTAAGCTGCTACTTTATTGCTGGTTTGGCATTTGTCAAAATATGACACTCTTGCCAATCTTTGTTTTTTGTGTAACTGCAGTTTTGGCTTCGTTATGGTCTTAGCATTATAACAGAAGAAGGCATGTTAATCATCTTGTTTGTATGTATGTTGCAGGACTAGCCCTGCTGAGTTTATAGTCCCCTATGATCAGTACATGGAGTCTGTTAAAAACAACTACTCAATTGGAATGAGATTCAAAATGAGGTTTGAAGGAGAAGAAGCTCCAGAACAGAGGTAAAGTGCATCTCATCAACTTGAATATTGATGCTCTATGGATTAGTAAATACCTAGCAAAATTATACTGTTAATTTAATGACATGATGATTCTGTAGGTTCACTGGAACTATTGTCGGAACTGAAGACGCGGATCCCAGTAGGTGGCCAGAGTCGAAATGGAGATGCTTAAAGGTACCACCTATAAAACTGACAAGGCTGCCTATCCCTTCCCCCTTGCAAATAATTATTTTAACATACTTCCTGTATTTTATCATATAAGGTGCGATGGGATGAAACTTCAACAATTCCTCGACCTGAGAGAGTTTCACCATGGAAAATAGAACCTGCTATTTCTCCACCTGCGCTAAATCCACTTCCAGTGGCCCGACCAAAAAGGCCTCGATCAAATGTCTTACCCTCATCGACCGACTCTTCTGTTCTTACTAGGGAAGGTTGTGACTACCTTTATCTACTCATGCGTCTTATGAAGTTCATCTGTTGCAATATAATATATATCATTAACTTATGTTTTGATGTATTTTAGGTCCATCTAAGATTCCAGTAGACCCTTCACCCGCCTGTGGATTTCCAAGGGTCTTGCAAGGTCAAGAATTGTCGACCTTGAGAGGCACTTTCTCTGAGAGCAATGAATCAGAGGCTGCTGATAAGCCATTAATGTGGAACTCCGCAACAGATGATGACAAGATTGATGTAGTTTCTGCTTCCAGAAGATACGGCCCTGGGCCGGATAAATGGTTACCAATGGGAAGGCCCGAATCTTCGTTCACAGATCTTTTGTCTGGTTTTGGGTCACAGATTAACTCGTCTCGTGATTTCTGTATGCCATCTGGTGATCAAGCAGTTCAGAATCGACAAACACAAGAACGTGATGCAAAATTTAGTGTAATTGGTAACACTTGGTCATTACAGCCTTCAAGCCTGTCACTCAATCTGATGGATTCCAGCTTGAGGAACCCCGGGCTGGGCCTTGAAACATCTTATCAGACTCGTGGGGATGTTAGATACAGCGCTTATAGAGACTTTTCCTTGATTTCCGACAATCAACCGGCAAACTGGCTGATGCCGCCTCCTATTTCACAACAATACCTTCAAATGCCGCCAGCTCAGTCGAGAGAGATGATGCCAAAGCCGGTATTTTCTCAAGCACAAGTAGATGCTGTGAGGCCAAAAGAAGGGAACTGCAAGCTATTTGGCATTTCCCTATTGAGTAATTCTGTATCGTTGGAATCGTCACTATTGGCAAATAAAACATCTGTGGTTGAGCCGTCAATTAGCATGCATCATGGTGCACATTACCCAACAATTGAGGCTGACCAAAGCTCAGATCAATCTAAGGGCTCAAAAGTGGTGGGTACTCCAGTTGCCACTGGTGAGCAGGACAAGCAATTCCATACTTCCCATCCTGCGTCTCGCGAGAGAGAAGGCAAAGGTCATTCTGGTTCAGCGAGGAGTTGCACTAAGGTTCTCATGTGGAATTATCATACTTCAGTTTAAATTTGTTTATTTTTTCCTCAATAAAATTAAGAAATTAATTTAATTTTCTCGTTTTCAGGTTCAAAAGCAGGGAAGTGCTCTTGGTAGGTCGGTGGATCTTTCCAAGTTTGATAATTATGATGAATTGATTGCAGAGTTGGACAGTATCTTTGAATTCGATGGTGAACTCAAGGAACGGAACAAAAATTGGCTTGTTGTGTATACCGATGATGAGGACGATATGATGCTCGTTGGAGATGACCCCTGGGAGTAAGATTATCTTTTCTTAGTTCCTCTACACTTGATGTTATAGACTTGTCTTGATTGACTTTTTAGGATTATAATTTTCCTCACAAAAAAGTGGCTTCTATTTTGCTGAACAGTGAATTTTGTGGCATGGTTCGTAAAATCTTAATACTTACGAAAGAGGAAGTGCAGCGTATGAATCCAGCAACTTTTAATTCTAAAGGTGAAGAAACGTCGTCAGTTGCGGAAGGCCTGGATGCTAAAGAAGATAAGCATTTGCCAACAACCTCGTCATCTAACCCTGATGATTGCTAGTTTTCCACATCTATCCTGGTATTTTTCCCAGCTCCATTTGGAAAATCTTTAGGTCAAACAGCTGGAGATTAATTATCAAGTTTTACTTCTCTTGTGAGGATTAGAAGTCAAATCGTTACATATATTATGGCTTTAATTATGATTAGTGGTAAATACATTATTTCTCTCAACACTTTTTGTTGGGAACGAGTAATTTTGTATACGGAAGTGCTGTTGTCGTATATGGGTTTGATGCTCTTGAGTAAATTGATCACAGAGGAGTAAACAAGATTATTTTTTATTCATTTTTTTTTTCCCCCCAACTGATGGAAAACAATTATCTAAGATAATGACACAATGGGTTCTTATTCAACTGAATAGGTATGTAATGATGGCGAGGAAGAGAAGTATGTTTCATCGAGCAGTCAAATTTTTTGAGGCCAGGAGAGATGCTCGTATACGCGCAATCGACGTCACGCTGGCAGGACTTAAATCTCATATTGATGCACTTTTTAGTAATATTTTGCAATTTTGAACCCGGGGTCATACATATGTAATGTACATGACACATTATGGGCATTGCTATCTTTGAACCATGTGCTCACCCATTGTAAATAGCTACCCCTTTTATTTACCAGCGTCCATATGTAATTAAGCATATTCAATACAGAGTTGGCATCTGCTAGAATATCAGTTTTATTGGTATGTGATGTTTGTTTAGCACTGTTTCACTTCTGTTGGGCATTGATTTGTCTTGCCTTGTGCTTTTAGCTGGAATAGAGTAAATAATTTTTTCCAACCTGTACTATATGTGCTTTTGGGATTTTCAATCAAAAGTATTTTTTGTTGTAAAATGCAACCTGAACTACAAATATACAATTATTTGCACGCACGACTATTTTTTGACCGTCCGATCATTTGCAACAAAAAAAAAAAATACGTGTATGGTCAAGATGTGGTCGAGTGTGCAAATAGTGAATGTATATGTAGTTCAAGTTGTATTTTACAATAAACAGTACTTTAGGTTGAAAATCTCAAAACCACGTATAGTACAGGTTGAAAAAAATCATTTACCGTGCTCGAAGGCACATTAGTCATGTCGTGTATGGTCAATATGTGGTCGAGTGTGCAAATAGTGAATGTATATGTAGTTCAAGTTGCATTTTACAATAAACAGTACTTTAGGTTGAAAATCTCAAAACAACGTATAGTACAAGTTGGAAAAAATCATTTATCGTGCTCGAAGGCACATTAGTCATGTCGTAGGTAAAATTCATCCTTTTTACTCACTCGGCTAGAAAATATTTTAATATTCATGTTATCAAACCTTGCCTCTCAGAGAGGCCCAAATCTAGAACTATCACTTTGACAAATTTGACATTAAGTTGCTTGATCTGAGATCTCATCACATGGCTTCATTTTGACAATTTCTTTTTTTATTTATTTATTTTATTTTTATTTTTTTTGGTACAAAGAAGGAGGCCGAAGGCTTAAGATGACGACG